TAGGCACTGCAGCGGTTTTCACAGCATACCTCCTATGAAAAGATCAAGACTGCTTGTGGCGTTTGAACTCCCTGCCACGTAGGATACTGCGAAGCATTGAAATGCACAGGATGCCAAACCTGTATCCTGAAATGACAGGGCAAGAAATTCCAAGCAGTGCCTGGTTCGCCGAAGGGTCGATAGACCTGACTGGCTTTGGGTCTTGTCGGAGATACCGGACACCAGCTGAACCCGAACTGCCAGGCGAACTCACTCTCAAAGCTTCGACCCCTAAAAGCCGGGCCAAGCATCTCCGAACGAATGCCCTCCACATCTTCCGGCCCACATGCTGTCGAGTCATGAACTACCTCTCATAATGCTCACTTTCTTTCGCTATTTGTGATGATACTACTGTGAATGAAGGAAATACAAACAAAGCCGTCTCGCCCCGCACACAACAGCAATTTTCAGGACTAGGCCGACATTAATCGTCTACGGCCCCATCAAACAGGGAACTATGTTAAAAGGCAGGCCCGCGGTTGGTTGTTGGGTGATGGTTTTTCCTTGGGTTAAGTAGGCCGTGCAAAGATTTCGTCCACCCCCTAGTACTCGGGCCACGACACTACTGGTACAACTTCTGCTGCCTGTGCCGCAGCTGCTACAACCTTTGAAACCTTTTGACTCGAGAACCCGGCTTCGATGCATCGGACGTGGCAAGCCAATCCTCTTTGTCCTGGTTGCGTGCTTCCGGTTTAAGATTTCGGATTCTTGTTCGGCCATATTTTCAACCGCGCAAGGCTATATGCCTTAAGGCTTAAATGGTCTTGTGTCCGCAATCATACGCCGGCATCCAAACCTCAGTCTATAACAGCTTTGTACATGGTCCGAACTCGACTCCGCAACCACCAGCCGAGTTGACAAGAAATGGCGCTGGTCTCGGTGGTTTTTGGCAGCAGCGGCGGCGGTGGCGATGAAGGAACCAGCCGTGCATGCCCACACCCCGCATTGCTTACGCAACTCCCTGTTCCCGTTTAGTACTTATTCGACATCGCGACACTGACAGGTGCAGCAATCCTAGCAGAAAAAACAAGCAGGTGGCACGCAGTCCTCTAGCCAAAGCCGAACCTGTGTGGGAACCCGCTCCCTGCCCCGTTCGAAGATGTCGTAGACCTCATAGCCCTCCTGCTCCTGGAGGTGACGCCTAAGCACAGCAGCGTTCATGACAAGAAGTACCACGTCTAGTCATCGACTCTAGTCGCTAGAGTCGGCTTGTCAATGTCATCATGTATGTTACCAAGCTATCGATCGGTGACGATTTGACGGTGGCACAACGTGCCCTCCGGATTGGATGCTGTTGGCTTCCAGGGAAAACAACGGGTGTAGGGCGCGTGGAAGAGGTAGTGACAGGGGTAGTGCTAGTGGTGGTCGTAGTCGTAGTCGTAGTCGTCATCGTAGTAGT